AGAATTAAGAAACATTAAATGGACAGGTATCAAAACTGAAATTAGAGTATATTACTATCACCATACTGTTTTTAACAGAACGTCCTAATTATAGTATATCAGCTCCTCAAAGTCGTAAATTTTTCTTCAAAGAATTTCGGAATTTATCGTAGGCCTGTCATCTGATAGGTCCACATATGTTTTAATTGAAATGTTCGAAAATAAATTAAAATACTATAATTTAAAACCTACAGAAATTTTAAATTAATTTCAGAAAGACAAATTTTGTAGCATTTCTTTTGTGGCATACATTTCATGCTTGAATAGAACTTGGCGTATAGAGCCATGAAATTCACCGAAGAATTGCCTTCGACTAGGAGTCTGAATATTAACACAGAACTAACACTCATATTTCCGTTTATAGCGCTGCGGTAACTATGTGTAACACCTTTTTAGCTTTGATTTTACCACACAGTGTAGGCCTATAAGCCTATAGGAATTACGTTCGGCTCTCAGAATAATAAACTATTATTTTCCGGAAATGTCATTAACGGATCAAATGGGGTAGCAGAGCATTTTCTTGGAACCAGAAACCGTCATTCTACATTTTATTCGAACCTCGTCTTTCACAGACTTTAAATCAATTGCTTTTACAGCTGTCCGAAAGAATTATAGCTACAGGCTAATACCACGAAAAGTTGTAGTAAATTAAAACTTCTTACAAAACAGACGTCTTAGTGAACCTGTTAGCAAATTTGGTAAAATTAGTAATTTCATGTTTGAACGGACATCAATAAACCTTGAATGCGTGTCTCAAGAAAGGGCCCTGTCTACTTGAGGTCTCACTTAGGGTATTCGTTATCAATTCAGACCTTATATCAGAATGATGAGTTACGTTAAAATGAACAAAAATCAAGATATCTTCAATTCTGGAGATAACACGTCGTGCAATCAGATCGAGGGTATTTTAATGGTCAATTTAATACACCAACCACCTCCGGCGCCATTATGGAATATGTAACAGAGTCGAATGATTCGTAATTTATACAACTGCTTTACCCCGCAGTAATCATGAGAACGCAGACCACAAGAGCAAGCAATAGACGATGAAGAACCTCCTCAGCAGACGTCATAATTTAGTCATGAGACGGTAGCAGGCAACCCTCGTATCTCTCTACGTTCCTATTACAGGGCTAAAGGGTAAAAATGGCCCAAGTGGCATCGCGTGAGACCTCAACTTACGGATAATGAATAGGCCCCACTTTGTGAATTGCCGTATTCCTGTACTAGGACAATTATTTATTGTGTGACATGGGTTGAAAATGTAATCAGTTCTGCGTTTACAAATTAATGATTCATTCCCATGAAAATATATAAATAACTGAAAACAGATTTTCAAGTCACCGGTATATTGCACACTACAATTGGTATTATAGTTAATATGTATAGACCAAGAGGCATATTACAGAAAACAAGAAATATTCTTGATATGGACCTACTAAAATGCATCTTACACGGTATTACATTTTCTAACATTTAATTTAACTTTACATGAAACAATTTATGTATAGAATTATCACACCTACTTCGTACTGGATATATTCTGAATTCAAATCTTGACCCCGTGGCCAATAACTTGTAACTGGAATAATAGCGTGCCTTTAATGTGCCACGACCACTTCATCTGCACACTTCAATTCTCTCATTCATCCTCCAATTTTATGCTATACGCTGGGTCTATAAGCTATTAAGTTGTAAACTCGTTAAATTGCGGAACAAATACAGGCCTAAGCAGGTTAGGGATATTTAAACACACAGAAGTATTGGCAGCTCGATGATTATAACGCCAATGATTAGTTCTTGGGATGACTGTTTTCGGTTGAAATTACCTAGCTTTTTAAGCTCAACTGGTCCATGCCGTTTTAGAAAAAAATCCTCTTTGTTCTGAGACAAATACCTCACTCACAAATACACCGTGTGAACAAAATACTGAAATGCTGATTACTGAAGCAACACACGAGTTAACACTGGATTTTCGAGTTAGGGAAAGTCCCTATCGCTACTGGTCTTCCTTCTCAATTTTGAAGTGAAGAAGTATTGCAGGTAAAAATTTACAAACCTACAGAAAATAAGTCAATCTTTATAATAATAATAATATTAATAATAATAATAATAACAATAATAACAGCCCTACAGCAGTTCCAGATAAAAATTGCGTTACACTCGACAGAAAGAATCGATACTGATTTCTGTACAAGAGGACAGACTTCTATTTAGAAATTTCACAAAGTCCCAACTGTAATATTGATAATCCATTCCGTATTAAGCCGAGGATCCATCCATGCCATCCCATTGTCACCACTTGACATACCCTACAGCTGCCTTCGTAGTCCAGCAACGGAAGGTTAATCCACGTCTAACAATGCTCTGTTAATTTCTTTATGGACTGCCCAAATGCACAGTCTTCCTTATTTCTTCAATTGTGAATAAATTAAGAAGTGAAGGGTGGAAATATATAAGGGAAAATGACATAAATCATAAGAGAGCACGTAAATTGAGGGCCGAGATGGATCCGTATCAAATGGACCTTCTGATTATAGCTTGCTTTCAAAACCCTAACGGAAACGTTTAACTACAGGATACGATATTGAAGGAATTAAAATTATTATTATTATTATTATTATCTAATAAATTCGGCTTTCACGAACTAGGCATGTTCTAATTTAAAACTAACTCAACGGAAATCGAACCCACTAATACATGTAAGTTATTTATGCGGTGTGGACCCACCTCAAACAATACAGCTACATTAATATTATTGTAGTTATTCTTGAATCATCATCACCTATGTTGAAACAATGCTACTTCACAAACAGCGAGAAAGATGAATTGCCCTAACTTAGTTCACCGGAAAATGAGTTTATTGTTTTGTGTTGACGATTTCAATGGTAGGAACATCAATTTATTTAGGGGTTATAGCATATATTGGTTACTACTGTGCAATAATATGAAGAAAACTTTTAATCTTAGGTATTGCAGATCGGTGGCTTTGCTGCCCCACTTTGCAAGTTGATCATCGCAACTCAAGTCAACATATGTCGCTCTTGCACGGGCTTCAGGAACAACTCAACAACTCAGTGCTTGTTTTAGGCTTGTTTAAGTGAAATGGGTATAACTTCTATGTGTGGTCATCATCAACACACACACAAAGCACACAGACAGACAGTAGTCCAGAATAGGGAAATAGCGGCATATTTGGTACAGAATGCAGAAAAGGAAATAAGCCCCACAGCCAATTTTATAAAACAGGCATGTCGCAATTTTAAAATGTATGAGGCCTCGCCGTTTATGATTTCGTAACATCTAACAATTCACAATCCTTCCCCTACACGCCAGAGAGATGCTTTATAATAACCACATCCCTTTTCACACAAATTAATTCGTTCATATTAGCGGTGACAATAAGTTACAATACTGCCTCTTCCACTCTACCAAAATGTCTATGTTGCATTTCAGTAAGTCAACTTTCAAAATTCGACATAGTAACTGCAGTGTTTGTCGACGAAAACAGGGAAATTTAAACGCCAAAAATCGAATTTCGCTGAAATCCTTAAATTATTTCCATGCCACGCCCAAGATAACTTATTCAAAAGCACTGTCTGTTATAGACGAGATTTAGTTTTGGAAGAACACAGAAAAAAATGTGCCTCGCTGTGACTCCACTGTTAACGCCAAGTCAATATTTCTTTGTAACCACAGAAATTACACGTCTATATTACAATAGACATTTCTAAGAAAATGTAATTAAACAAGAACTTGCATGGAATGGGTTAAAATTAAGTAGGAATATTTTCATGCTTCCAATAAAAATGCAAAACCTCTTTAGAATATGTCGTATAAACATATTAGTCACTTAGAGATTATGATAACAAACTTTAATGTCTTATGGTCTTAATCGGGGAAAATTAGTAAAAATTTAATAAACTTTCACGCATTTGAAATTCAAATTCAGTTAAGGCCTAAGGAATATGATTTCCATAACGTATTCTGAAAACGGGCTTACAACAATTTTACACAGAATACTTAAAAATGTTTATATATTTTTAGTGCTATATCATACGTAAATTGTAGGTAAATTTTTCAAATCCAATTTGGCGAATCAATGAGTTTCCACTTGTTATATGGCCAATTTACTTTAATATAAATATAAATGGCTATATAAGTATGTATATATTATTTATTATATAGGTAATAGCTCTTTTTCAACGCCTAAGACTGGAATGCAATAGACAGATTTTAGACCAGGGATCATCATTTACGAACATGACATTAAAACAAAATGCGTTTGCACTAAATATTAAAGATCGTGTACGTATAATGTAACGAACCTGGGAGAAAACTACTTCCTCGGTATTTTGTACTTCACGAAACATTTTTATGTTCTGCAGTATTTGCCACTTACTGTGGTCATGCCGTGTAACGCGTGCGTTACGGTCTTGGATACGTACAACTGATCTGCGGGCTCGAATTTCAATTTGGACATGACCGCAGTCTTCCAGTGTTGCCCTGTGCTGTCCTGTACAGGTAAGAGACTTTGTTGAAGACCGGTCCCTCATCCAAGGATTCATGCCTACAAAAGTTTCATAGTTTCGGAATTAATTCTGAATCGAAACAGGCCAGAAGTCACGATCCGTGAAAACAGCAAAGTGCACGTGGATGTACGTGAGCAAATTTTAAGAGTAGCCAAGTCGAACATTTAAATGACAGAAGTAGCAGAGCTGAAGTGTCAGAGACGAGCCCTTAACGCATTCGTGAAACGTGTCGTTATAAAGTTATGTGGCGTCTTGAAACTTACACAGAAGTGTTACAGAATGCGGCCTACTAACAATACGACGAGGATACACGGCGATTTATTAGGCCTACGCATTTCAATGAAAATCCTCGACCTACTATTGACTTGTTGTCAATAAAGCACGACAGATATTTCCTACTGCGAACACCAAAGCAAAGTGAGGGTGGGTTTACCTGGCGGTGGTGCAATCCCTGTAGAGGATGTCGAAGTCCTTGCACGACAGCAGCTTGCACCTGTTAACGCCCGGCTGAATGGCCCCGAGTCCTCGCAGAATACGAACTTGTTCCACGTTGCAGACCAGAGGCACTATGTCGAGTCTTTTCAGCTTGGTGTAGACGGTGTGCAGTCCGCCAACAAGGTGTTTGAGGAACAATTCGAATGCCTGAGGAAGACACAGCATCGTGTCGCCGGCGATAATGAAGGCCGCAACCTTCTGCCCGCGGTAGTCCACTAACTTGCACTCATTAGCCGTAGGATCGGAGCTCGAGATGGGCGGCGGGCTGTTGTAAGACCGGGGCGGACCTCCGTGGTGGGCCGCGGCCATCAGGTCCAGCGGCGAGTGGTGGATCATGCCGCCCCCCAGCGAGTTGAGCAGGCCGAGGCCCGGGGGCGGCAGAGGCGGCATCACAGACTGGGATATCCTCGGGGGCACAGCTGTGATGCTGTTGGGGGTTGAGACGGGCGGAGGACTGAGTGTCTGCGGGTGCTGGGGCGTTGGCGGCGTCTGTTGGGTACCGGTAGGCACTGAGCTGGGGCTTCCGGGCTGACGCACCATGCTCGGCGGCGGGCTGTGGGGCGGCTGTTGAGGCCCCGGGGGGTTGTTGCTCGGGGGAGTGACGGGCGGTTTGATGGCGACTGGCGGCGACGCCGAAGACGCATTGCTACTGTGGTCGCTGTTGGTCGAAGAAGAGTCCATTACAGAATCCATACTCATAGTTCACCAAGCTGCTTCGAAACAAAAAAACCACTTTTCGCACTACAAAAGTTAACTAGAGACTGGCACGTATCACACGCTCAACACCATGTTCACTCGTCGTGGCACTTGTCTAAACCCATGATGGCGAGGGCTATTGTCACTGGTGCACAGGGCCGAGTTCATCTGGAGCAGGGTACCAAGTGGTGCCGCTTCTGATCGGTTTGTCTGTCTGTCTGTCTGTCTGTCTGTCCGACTGACTGTATGCTTCTACACAATACGAGAGAAGAGAAACAACAGAGCACTGGAAGACGCAGTGCGAGAGAAACTGCGGGACAGAGGGGAGGGGAGGGAATCAGCAGAAAACTTAAAAACACTCACTGCATTCGTTCTCTCTGTCTGGATGATGTCTCCTCTATTCACCTCGTGTACCTTATCCTTCCACCGCTCACACAACAAAACAAGACGACGAGGTACCGCCCGCTGGAAACAGAGACGGAGAAGAACGGGTCGTAATCGCACACACACACACACACACACACACACACACACGCGCTGCTGTGTTTTTACTGGGAAGGGGGGGCTCTCCGCACTTTGGAAATTACATCCGGCAGCTACTCTGAGGTCCCGAGGACATGAGACGTGCACAAGAAGTACAGTCCACAGTCACAAAAGTAATAAATAAAACGCAGAGGGAGGGTGGAAAACTTGGCTCCTTTTTTTTTTTTTACTTTGTTTTCTTTGTATTGGGGCTGCGCTCCAAGAGAGATAGAGGCTCAGAACACGGTCATTATCCGCACGAAATGCGCAGATCGACTGCCATTGGTCCACAGTTTACACAGCACTGCTCTCTCATTGGCTCGACACCAAGTTACGCCTGACTTGCTTTAGGTTTTCGGGGCACGCCTCTTCTTATACTCACACAAACTCTCTTTACTTTTGCTACACTGCTGGCAGTGGTGGTGAAAACAAGAAAAGTCGTTTTGTACTTGCTATTTCCTTCCTTCACTTACTCTTTCTTCTGTATTATCGCTCTCTGTCTTTTCTCTTACTTCTCCCCTTCCAGCTACACCGTCTCTCCTTCTCGCTCCCGACTCAAATCCGTCGGTAACAGTGTCTCTTTCATCACCTTAACGCGGTGATGTGTGGCAGCCAGCAAAACAGAACTGCATTGTGTGTTGCGGACATACAAGGTGCTCACAATGTAAAACTAGGCTTTGCCAGACACACAACACGAAAACACGAAGAAATCAGTATTTTTCACAAATCGTAAAAGTGTTTAGCACTAGGCGCGAACACACTGTAAAAAGGTGTACCAACTGTTGAAGTGAACTATCACGCTATGCGCAATAGCCACGACTTTTTTCCATCGCGCGCGCACACATACACACACGCGTTTCGAACAGCTGATCGCCAGTAAAACGAGCCTATCGCTCTGGCAGGCAGGAAAAGCAGTGTGGTTCAGGCTAGTGGGGCGAGAGAAAGACGGACCAGTAGGGGAGAGACAGCTCCCCCTGTAACTTCGCTATTAGGTTCATATGCAATAACACGGCCGCAACTGCTGCGGTAAAACGAGACACTTTGCTTATTGAGTCGACATCTATGAGCGAATTGGCAAACTAGCTTGTAGTTTCCAAAAGTGCAGACTTGAATACGTCATAATGCTTGTAATTTAATGACGCTATTATTCAGTGGCGTGCTAATGAAGTCAGAGAATAGAGGAACTACGATCCTGAAATTATCAGCCGTGTCGGCACAGTTGTAATGTTTCTGTGTTCAACAGAGACGTTGCTAAATTTAAATATTACTTTGAAATATTGTTGCATTGGCCCTTTCAATGACAAAACGATTTATCTAGTGAAGAGCTGTATTCTGTTTCAGATATTTTTATTATTTAAAAATGACTTGCTCCCTCCATCTTCATCGCCCTGATGATGGAGGCAGCAAGGACCTCTGAAACGTCGATAAAGTTCTACAAGACTACACGGCGCAACAACCCAGAAGATAGCCATCTTCAGCTTAAATATTCTTTGCTTAGAAGCTACAGAATTTTTTCAAATGTAATGTTATTGCTGAAGACCCTAGAGAATTTAGTTTTATCCTTTATTTCACTCTTAATTTTGTTTCAAATGTGCCTTAATATAAGTGTCTGTTAATTAGGCATAAAATCACCGTTCTCAGCAGCAACACGACCCACAAAGCGAGCAGTCATGGAGCGCGCCAGGACTAAGGCAGTTAGTTCTGAATCCGAACGGGATTACATGTTTCGCGTTTCTCCGTGTTGTATTGTCCTGCTTTAATTGGCGGCCTTGCGATGGGGTCAACCCTCGTTCAACAAGTCCTATGAAATGTCTATACAGGACTCACTATCCCAGAGTAAACCGTGAATCATCCTAATTCGCGAAGGGTGAATAACAGGCCTCAGACAAAAGAAATAAACGTTGTCACAGCTCCACACTCTAAAGACGCATTTTAACTTCGATATCACAGGCTTCCGGTCTACTTTATATGCGGAGAAATGTCCGATACCCACTGGATGGTCGTTCCCTGGGTGGGAGTGAATTGGATAACTAAGAGAAAAATCCTTGTCACTTTCAAGAATTAAACCACATTCTTCCAGGTCGCTGCACAGTTACTTAACAGACTAATTTACAAGGCTCCTGAATAATAATAATAATAATAATAAAGATGATGATGATAATAACAATAATTTGCCTCTTAATTGGTATAGCAATACCGACTGACAGGAATGTGATTAAGAAGGAAGCAGAGAAGATCTTGAAATACAAGGACCTTCTCATTGAAATACAGCGAATGTGGAAAGTGAAAGTAAAAGTAATTCCAATAGTTATAGGAGCGACTGGAACTGTCTCCAAGTCACTCAGAAAATATTTGGCCAACATCCCAGGCGAACAGAACATCAGGGAACTGCAGGAAACTGCCTTTTTGGGATCTTCATACGTCATTCGAAAGACGCTGTTGTAAAATATACAGTAATACCTCACAATAAAAGTATATAGTACATGTAACACGCATTAAAAACAAAATGTATTTCGGAAATAGCTGCTGCACTGTGTACCTCAGGGGCAAGGTTTTGCCTCAGGTACACAGAAGGAAATACCCTATAAAGTGGTGATAGATGGAATAATAATAATAAGTGGGACAGTAGGCTTATAGTAAAATACAATTTCCACAATTCCTTAGTTATTAATTTTTGGGTTGCTCCCAAAGTTTTAAAAAAATCGCTCCACTGATAAATGTGGTTTGTGTCCTCCTTGGACAGACAATGGCTATTCAAATAAACAATGCATAAAATAAATTACATCCCAGAAAGACGCATTACTGCTCCAACAAAAGCTAATCATTATGACTCATAATAACTAATAACGATAAGAAAAATACTAAAAATTCGATTGAGCAGAATAGTCAATATTTTCGCTTGGCTTGTCAAGAATTTTTTTTATTTTTTTTATTTTTTGTAGGAAACAAAGGCGCTAACAGCACGCCAATGGCCCTTATCTTGACCCGGATAAAACCAGTAGGCCTACACATCCTCACAAACATTTAAAAATTATTCTTGCTAATACGCCTTGGTCTCCCGAGGTCATTTCTCATCCATTTAATGCCTGCTACATGCCTCACCCATTTTATCCTGGTTGACTTGTTCACCGTAAATAATATTTGGAGAACAGTCGGCCATCGAACTTCACTCTTCCTACTGCTTGCTTCCTCTTCCGTCCAAATACCTCCCTCGGTACCCCGCGTTTAAATACTTGCAATTTACGCAATTTCCTTAGAAAGGGAGATCCCGTTTCATACCCATTCAAAACAAAAGACAAAATTATACGACGGGAAGTCACAAAAGATTGTGAAATGGATGGTAGGAAAAAATTTTCGAAAGTAATTTTCTCTTAAGTTGAGTTAAATTTGATGTGTTACCGTAATTCCCAAACAGGACCGTCTGGAACTTCCCAAAGTTAAAGAGACTTTTTCCACGGTAGCTTTTCTTTGGCCCAACAAATGAATAGGTTTCCTACCATCAGCAGAGACACCCCTTCATAGTTTCCTTCGACATTCTTAGCTGTGCATTTTAAAGAAAAACATAGCAGTAGCAATAACATTCTTCCTGGAGATAATTTTAAAACAATGGCAAATTAATAGCGTAAAGAAATCAAACTGTGTATGGTTTTCCTGTGATTGAAGGTTTTCGTGTTGATCTTCAAATATTTCAAGGTAAGTCATTACACGCCAAGAGAAGCGAGACATCGGATTGTTATACAGACCTCTAAGTGTTTTAGACCAGTTAATTGTTTGTCCGTATCAGGACAATGGGCTGACCTCGCCGGGGGTGGCAAGGCGGAATTAATTATATACAAAAACTCGGTAGCAACTATGAAAATCTGAATGAGAAACATCTTTATCAGTAGGAAAGAATATCTGCTATATATTATAACTTGTTAACTTCGGCTATGTCTTCAGGAGTGGGCCAGGTAGGCCTATTGTTCATTATAAATGGGTTCTACAAGACGTCCCCTAAAGCGGAACAGGTTAGCTACGCCTTCCGAAAGGCTCTACTCTGTACACTGTAGGGGTTAGGTACGTTATAAATCTGCAAGTAAGTGGCAAGGAAAGGTGGATAACGTAAACTGAATGGCTTCTGCTCAGAAGGGACCAACAAACTGCACTTCACTTATGCATAATATCAACTATTGGCAATAATTAGCATGAGTAACGTTACTGTCAAAATTAGTAATATTTAAACTGGTGAAATAAACGTCCCTCTCGAGACATATGAAGTGCTTAGTTTGTTAACGATACTTTACAAGCTCATATGGTAATTATATAAACGATTTAAAGACGGAGCCCACCCGACAAAACCCAGGGTTTACGTTGGAGGGTCCTATTGTATTATTTACAAACGTAAATAAGCGAACTTCATGGGTTATAAAGAATAATCTTGTAGGATGATTATGAACTCTGATCACAAATTACTCAACACGAAGTTGTGGTGCGACTGAGTAAAACCATGATAATCCTTTGTTAATATACTCGGCTCGGAACAGGTATTCAAACCTGCCACCTCTTGAATTCGAAGAAAGATTGCCAAGCAGTATATAGCGACATTAATTAAGAAAAACAGAATATTAGTTAAACAGCTTCAAAGACAGATCACATGAGAGACCACGTCATAGCTATAAATATTAAAGGAACAGGTTGTAAATACATGAAGTAGATGAAACTGATTCGGAACAGGGTCCACTGTCAAACACATGTAAACACAGTAATTAATCCTCCGGTTTTATAAAACATGGCATTTGTTGACTAGATGAAAAAAAACATGAAATAGTCACGGAATTAATCACTTAGGTTACTACCGACGCTGACTTAACGCGTGCGTTGTAGACGAACTTCTACATCTGTACTCAAGTATTCAGCACATAAACCTAACATTCTTTTGGTTCATAACGAAACGAACGGAGAAGCATAAGGTAATGAATAAAAACAGTGGGCGAATATTGACCCTCGTACCCGACCGTATGGGAGATTAGGTTGCCTCTACGTAGCACGGATTGGAAAGGAAAACTCCATGAAAAATTCTTGGTTTATAATCTGAAAGTAAAAGATTATTTGGGTGACCCAGATGTACATGGCTTAAAACACAGGACTATAAAACACAATTCGAGATGTTAAATGGATTGTACTATTTCAGAGTAGAATTTGATAGTGGGATTTTGTTAGCACGGTGATGAAGCAATGAATTCCATAAACGCATATCTTGCTACCTTATCGTTTTAGTAAAAAGTAATTTTTAAAGAAAATCCCTTTCCGATACAAACTAAAAGTGGTCAGCAGTTACTCGCGTTAAGTTTCATCCAAACACAAAACAGCTTTCAGTTAAAGTTAATTGAACAGAGTCTTTAATATGGCTGATTGCTCTCTATGTATGTTATTGTTGCTTGATTTATCAATAACATTCAACCGATACTTAATAGATGAAGATACGGTTAAACAACTACTGTGTTTAGTTAATAGTGGTTGGTTAATATTGGTTTACAAATAATCCACTTCAGTATGATGCTAATTAGAATGGACCCTGTGAAGTGGAGAGTGTAAACTAATAAATAAACACACGAATCTAACAGACAGACACCGATGCCAGCAACTTGAGCAGCTGAACATCAATATTTCAATGTACAGTAATCATATCATCCCATGTTGTCCTTCCGTGGATACAGCGAACATACTATGTAAACGCAGTCTACATTCCCTCGTTGACTGTCATTTTGTCTGTGTGGTGAAATGGAGAATCGACAGAAAACTCACCCTTACACAATTTTAGGCTCTTAGAGACGTGTATCTCTCCTTTATGTAAGAA